CATTTAACTTAGGTCAACAAAGGAATTTTGGATCAAGTACACAGCACCAGAGTCCCTCCTTCCTTGAGGGCATTCAGACACACAGACACTTTGGAAAGTCTTTAGCTGTTGTCTCCAGCTGTTGCTCCAATGAGGGAAACTGTGTTTTTGGTGTGTCTGTTGATAGCAAATGACTGACTAAAAGAACCGCTGGACAGAACAGGATTTTAGTTGCAGTAGAAATGCTGACATAGCAAGAGGGGTCATCCAAGCCCCCGCAAAAAGAACTTATTTATAAAAAATTATGTATTCTTACACATTTAAACTTCAGTCGCCTTCAAAGTACGCTCCTTCTGATGTAATACACTCATCGAGACTTTTTTTCCACTGCTCAAAACAGTTTTTAAACTCATCCATCAATTTTGATGCCTTTTAGTGCTTCTGCTGGTTTTTGTTTGTTTGTTTTACCTCTTCCAAATCAGCAAACTGTTTTCCTCTGAGGACTTTTTACATCCAGAAAACAAACAAACAAACAAACAAACAAAAAGTTGTTTGGGACAAGATCAGGTGACTAGAGAGGGTGGGGCATAGGGGTCATGCCGATTTTGGTCAAAAACTGTTTCACACTAGCATGGTATGGGTAGGTGCACTTGTAAATCACCCATCATGAAACTGGCAAACATTTTTAAAATCTTCAAAAAATTTTCACTGAAAATGAACACAGCCTCTCACAACAACGCCGGCCAGTCCACTGATACAAGATGGGTTCCTAAAAACACTCACCTAATGGGGGAAGCCCGTATGTACTGCAAGGGGCCTGCCCTCCAGAAGATAATTCCAATTTTTAAAAAATATTTTATTTTTTAGACAGAAAGGAAGGGAGGAAGAAAGGGAGAATCATCAATATGTGTGGTTGCCTCTCACATGCCCTGAACAAGGGAACCTGGACCACAGTCTAGGCATGCCCTGACTGGGAATCGAACCACTGGTTTGCAGGCAGGCACTCAATCCACTGAGCCATACCAACCAGGGCAGACAATTCCAGTTTTTGTTTTTTTTTTTTTGGGGGGGGGGGTGTCACCCTTCTCATACACAGCCCAAGAGTCAGAGAATAGGTCACAGGTAGCTCCTTCTTTGTGGGATAGTAATTGTCTTCATTCCCACAACTGCACGATTAGACAGTAAATCCCTACAAACCGCTGCTCTAGTTCACAGACCACAAATTCAAAAGAAATGGCTTGCCATGGCTGGGTGGCTCAGTTGTTGGAGCACTGTCCCATACGCCAAAAGACTGCTGGTTCAATTCCCAGTCATGGCTCATACCTACGTTTGTGGGTTCCATCCCCGGTTGGGGCAGATACAGGAGGCAACCAATCAATGTTTCTCACAACAGTGTCTCTTTCTCTCTCACAAATCAATGGGCATACCCTCTGGTGAGGATTTAAAAAAAAAAGAAAGGAATGGCTTAACTGCCATACTGATTCTACAAAGATGCCCCTCCTCCCAGGCAGAAGAGCAGTGAGAAGTCCCTAAAATACAACTGAGGGAATCAAAAATGCTTTATTTCCGAAGATACAGCATTCTTTCTCTTTAAAGAATTCATACTGCAAGACTATACTTCTTTGCAATGTGGCAACCTTTCTGTCTTCCAAATAATATCTGGCATTTGTATTGTGTTTACTGATTACAAGTACTAGTGCACTTTCCAGGACGACGTGGAATTTCAGAACCATAACGCCCACAGATGTGAGGGAGAGACACGCTGGATGTGAAGGAAATAATCAAATGTGTCATCTCCCTGAATCTAAATACTGATGCCAAAGGGCCCGAATCCTCTAGACAAAGGCTCTCCATTATCTCAAGGGCCTGAAATTAAATGCTTCAAACCCTCCACATGTGCTCTCAGTGCTCCCTGGTAATTAAGCAGGGAGCAAGTGGCTCTATTATCCATTTTCTTGCCACAGGCTCAGAGACAACTAACAGCTATTTCTAAGCAAGGTTAAGGAAGCCTAGCCATAAATTGAGAAAAGGACTGGACTTTGGTCTGTGTCATAACCATTTCTCCTCCGTCTCAATGTGGTCTGCTTTTTTTGGGGGGGGGGGGAGCTGGGGGGTTGCCAAAGAAATAGGTGGAAGGCGTTTCTCGATTAAGAAACTGAATTCAGAGATGTGTTGTAACCGTGTGCGTAAAGAAAGCTCAGGACGTGCCAGACTTCCACCGCAGGAAACAGCGCAAAGGAAGTGCTGTGGTTTGCCTTCTGCTAGGGATTCCCCTCTTGGGTTAAGCAAAAGGTCAGGAAAGATAATGGCTCTTTCCTGGCGCCAACAAAGTCCAAGGATAATAAAGATTCCAGGAGGGATGGGGGTTCTAAAATGCTATGTGCTAGTGACGTCCACATTATTCTCTATGTAAGCTCACGATATTACCATCTGTTTTAGAGGAGAACAAGCTGTCTGAAGTCTAATCAAGAGGCCTGTTATTTAGTATGTACCACCTAATGATAACCGTCACTTTGGGGGAAACATTACAACAGTTGAAGTCCCACATGGCAGGAATGCAGTGAGTGCTTGCTTAGAGGACGGCCTCAGGCTGAGGATATGGCCAGCAGTGGTAACCAAAACCTGAAATCATTTTACCTATTCTACGTCACAACAAATAACTACAGCAACGTTTTTCTTAGTATTTTATACCTTACGATAGCACTTTAATATGTTATCTTATTTAAAGGTAATTAAGATTCTTCTAAATCATGAAAGTTTAAAAGGATTTTTCACTCATTTATTCATTTAGTTTTGTGTGGCTATTTCAGTTTATTGCAGGAAAGAGTTACACTAGTCCATTTAAAAGCAGACCCTAAATGGTTACCATTATGTTATTATATAAGCTGTGAGGTTTTTAAACTTGTGACAAGGGACAGAAGGGAAATTCTACTCACTGTAAGGAAAATTCTCACTTGGCTTCAATAAGCCAAGAGCACTTAAAACCCATGACCTTCGGCTGCCCTTCTCAGCCAGTCCAACCTCGATGAGGAATTGGCCTATGTGCTTGCGCTGGTCACCCTGTAGCTGAATTACTTCTCCACGTTCTGGGTGCTCAATGACAGCACCGTCACAGGCAAATTTCTTCTCCTTTTTTTAATTCTTACCCGAGGACAATTTTTAATTGCTTTTTAGAGAGAGAGGAAGGGAGAGAGAAAGGAAACATCAACTGGTTGCCTCCAATATGTGCCCAGACCAGGGATTGAACTTGCAACCTAAGTATGTGCCCTGACCAGCAATCCAACCCACAACCAGGGCAAGCAAATTTCTTCTTAAACACCTCACTAGTTTCTTTTTATTGTAATCACCACCAATTCCTCAGACAGCAGCAAGAATCTTCCTGCTGTTTCTCTGTTGAACTCTTACATGGATATAATCCTCAGTGCCAGCAGGAAGCAGGTCATTAGCTTTACCTGCATTAGCAAAGGAGCCAAAAGAGTGGAGGTTCTGGATAACAGACATACAATTCCTTTTCCTTCATGGAAACAGCCTGAGGAAGGCTGTGGTGGGAGAAGGGGGAGAGGGGACAGGGACAAAACGTGGGGAAGCAAGAAGGGCTCAAGGGAGCAGTTGCTGAGTCCTCAGTGGCAGCTCAGTGACTGGGGCCTCACTTTACTCTTAAGTTCATCAAATAAAGAGTCTCTCTTCCTTTACTTATTTTCATTAAACTAGCTTGCATACAGAAACAAATCAAAGTATCTACCGGGAACTGTCTTCCATTCACTATTGCATACTTGCTCCTGTTTACTGCTTACAAACACATCGATCTAGTTTTGTTCAACTGAATACTTGAACTAGAAAGAAGAGGAAAGACCAGAAGAGCTGCAATTGTACTACTACTTCCTGCTGCAGAATTAGTCACTTCAGTCTTCTTCCATTTTAGGATATTCCGTTCCAAACCCTGACCAAAGCTACAGCAATTTCTCTGCTTTGTCCCTCCTAGAAAATTCTCCTAAATCACTTAGAACAATTTTGTTTATTTAGTTTGTATTCTTCAAAAGCCATTTACATTTCCTGTACCCCACCTCTTCTTCATGCCCACAGGCTCTGATCTGGGGAAAAATACTCTTATCTCACTGTAAAGATCAGTCCCCTGGTCTTAAACAGTTCTTGTTTTTCAAAGGTGCTCCTGACTTAAGAACCGTTTTGTGCTGCCCCAGAAGTCTGTCATAATAGAAATGAAAAAGGCTCATTCCCCTCCCCCTTACGTTATGCCCATCTCTACTTCCCCACCACCCAAGCAGATGCCAGTTTTTATTCTCTATAATTCTCCCCATCAGCAAAAATTTCTACTTTTATCATGACCCCTAGTCTCTTGCATTTTATTCTTCCGTTTTGTTCTCTTCCTTAGTTTGAAATTATTTTAACTAAAAGCAACTTTTGATATTGTTGTTTCTCAAAGGTAACAGAGATGTTCAAGTCTAAACAGCACTGAATCCACGCCCTGGATGTATACAGGGTGGTGCGAAAGTAGGTTTACAGTTGTTAGTATGGAAATTAATAAATAGTAATGGAGGAAGAAAATTGTGTTTCTTGTACTCACAACTGTAAACTTTTTGCCCCACTCTGTTCAGAGCTGCTAGTCTGGGGATTAAAGCCTTAGAAATCAAAAACAAATCACTTTTCTTACCCATGGACATTAACATTTAGATGAATTCCCGCTTTTACAAGTCATAAACATGCATCTACTTGCTGTCCTGAGAGTGCTAACGGGCATGTGCTTGAATGTTTATCACACCAGCGCTTCTGTGGGACAGTCGGTTTAGTCATCTGGCTGACAACACAGGCAGAATTACTGTTCAGGGCCGTTAATACAACTTTTCACATCAATAAAATTGTTACTGGCTGTCACATGACTGCTGAGAAAACCCATAGCCTTCTGGGCAGAGCACAGCCTGCCGGCCTGAGTAGGGAGGGAGGTTACCGAAACCCGTGGCACAGCACACGTGACCGCTTCCTCCAGCTGTCGGAGCAGGACATACCTCTTCATAATTTTTCGCCTCCACGCCATGCTTCATGTCTAGGATCACCAGTTGGTCAGGTAAACGCCCAGTTCCTGAGAAAAATCAAAGGGTTCATTGTGTGGAATATTTAAAATTCCAGGAAATCACCCACCCACCTCCCTCATCCCAACCCCTCCCCTCTCAGCAGACAGAAACAGATGAAACTCCTCCCCAGCCTCAGCTGCAGAAAATCCCTGGCTCTGGCTAAAATCCCAAGCATCCCAGACAAAGCCCCTGTCTGTGTGGGGCACCGGAAAGCAAAGAGAACACGCTGCTGTCCAGCATCTTCACGCAGGCAGCACACAAGATACTGCAGCTGGTACTACAGGGGAGCAGAATAAGAGAAAATGCACAGGCTTACTGGAATTAGAAAAAAACACAAAAGTCAAAACCATACAAAACTGGTGACACATATAGACCAGGAGTGGACACCAACTTAGGATGAAAAGTACATTTCCACATCTGAGAAGGTTGTCCTCTCAAATTTTGAGAAAAGGATTACTAGTCATATATTAAGCTTGGATTTACTTAATACAAATATGAGTACTGAAAAGAACACAGGGTTTATCTAATATTTCACTTTAATTCAAACATTTTGATCAAGGTAAGGCCACTTTAATACCTAAATAAAACATCACAGGACTATTTCCACAAAGCCCTTGGAAAGGGAACAGCCCAAGAAAAAACTTGACAATAAGAGCACAATTCTCAGCGATGCTTCTTAAAGTGAGAAATGTCAATTTGGTACAGTTGGGCCAACACAGCAATGTTCATATGAAAACAGATGATCTGATTCGCCTTGATCAAGCAGGAATTCTAATCTTACATCATCATGTAGGAGAAAGGGAAAGCCTCCGAGAGCCCCAGGAAACTGCTCAGCCCCATCCCCTGGAATCCAACTCATTATTTATAAAATTAAAAAATGCTTGCATGGAAAACAGTGCCACTTAAGCAGTGGGGCTCCTGATACCGTAAGCAACAAAGACAGGTACTGTACCTTCTGCTGCCTGAGAGGCACTGGATATTTTCTGAAACAGACTGAAGTCAATTCAGTAACTATCCACTGAGAACTCACTGGAGATTACAATCTCTGCCTTCAAATAATTTGATAGGGATCTAAGACATGTACATGAATAACAGCTACAGTGAAAATGCAAAGCAGTATAAAACTTTAGGAGAAAAAAATGGTTTAGATAATCCCAGTTATGGAGCAAAGATTAGAGAAGAAAAGAGATTAGTTGTGGATGAACTTCACTAAAGTGAAGGTCACAGACAGGACAAAGTACTCTAGGCAGGAGACAAGCATAGGCAAAGTTCTGGTATTAAAATTTGTATGGCAGGTTTAAAAGACAGTAAGAAGTTCTTTTGGCTACATTAGAAAAACCAATTTAAAATCAACAGAGATAAGACTGAGTAGGTAAGATTAAGAAAGGAACTATAACAAGTCACAAATGGCTTCTTCGGCATTTAAACCATTAAGTCTCTAAAACAAAACAAAACAAAACAAAACGAAACAGGCATCCAGACAGGTCTCTTCTCCCCACTCTGATGTGAAATCCTGAACACAGCGCTGCCCACAGATGCAATGCAAATTTCTGCTGCTCCTTCCTCATTTAAACAGTTGTGAAATCCAAGCAGCTCACAACCCTACCTGGTCCACATGATCAAGATACTCTCTTCCTAAGAGACTCTTTCCACTTTCCATTTGCCACATCATAAACATCGGCACTATTCAAACACAAGTGAAACCACAAAACCACTCAGATTGGTCTGAGCCCAGACCATACAATCTCCTGCACAGAATAGTTTATCCTCTTAGCTAACATTATGGCCATTAAAGGGTCCCCTCCATAAAAAGACCCTGCAGTAACTTCTCTCTACATTTACCTGGCAAAAAGACAATCTTTTAAAAGGTGCTTCCAAGACTAGTAGGTATGTGGTCTCCATATCAGAATAAACTAGGAACACAAATGAAACTAGAAATCGAGTGCTTACTGTAATGTGTCAATGTGCATGTACGTAATATGTGTTTTATGTATTATATATGTATATATAAATGTATAAAATATATATGTATATATAACTTATATGTGTGCACATATTTACCTTTCTCTACACACACATACACACAGAGAAAAAAATTAGTTCCTAGGCATCTATATACACATCATCAGCATATAATAAAGAAATTCAGCCCTGGCTGGTGTAGCTCAGTGGATTGAGCGCGGGCCTGTGAACCAAAGGATCGTGGTTCAATTCCTAGTCAGGGCACATGCCTGGGTTGCAGGCCAGTTCCTAACAGGGGACACACGAGAGGCAACCATACATTGGTATTTCTTTCCCTCTCTCCTTCCCTTCCCCTCTAAAGATAAATAAATAAAGTCTTAAAAAAAAAAGAAATTCAGAACAAAAGGTATGTTTAAAGTTATGTTTAGGTTTAGTGTTAGGATTAGGTTAAGGTTTAGGGCTAGAATTAAGGGAGGTTAATAACTAGGTTTAGGGTTAGGGTTAATTTTAAACTTTCTTTAATACTGGAAATGTAAGATATACATACATTTAAATAACACTGGCCGTGTTTTATATACATCACACATATCTATCTAGATATAGATCTTTACATGCTTAAATTCAATCTCTATCCTTAAATGCCTAAATCACTAACTTAACCTGTAGGTGATGTTGTATTTAGAGGAAGCAATGTTAACCTCTTTGTTGTTTCTGAGACATGTTCAGCGTCTCAAAGTGTCTGGTTTTTCTCCGAAGTCTTTATTACCACCTGACCTATATTTGTTTATTGTCTTTTTGCTCCAATGAAAAGGTAAGCTCCACAAGAGGACAGACTTCCATTTTATTCATTGCTACATCCCCAACACCTAGAAAAGTGCTTAGTATACAAGGCACTTAATAATTACTGGCTGAATTATTCAACTGACTGAGAAAGTAAGCAGGTTAGAGAGTTGAGGAAAGCGCTCTAAGAGAACTGACAGAGAACTCGGGTCTGCATGGGGGAGAGCATTCCAGCCAATGAACAATGTGACAGGTCTAGAGGGCAGAGCCAGCCCGACTGGCCGGGGCCTGAGGAGCAGTGGAAGGTAAGGCTGGAGGGAAGGGGCAAAGGTCACCAAATGCCATGCTACCTGAAATCCCATCCAGCTCAAAAATTCTGTCATCCTAGGTTTCATTCTACAGAATAGGGATATGACTGCCACTACAGAGAAGGGGAAGCTTTTGAAAAAGGACTGACAAAATGAAAGATACGTTTTCGGAGATAAACCTGGCACCAGTATCTCGATATATTAAAAACAGGGATATCAGTTAGAAGACTAATGACATAATTCACAATTCAAAAATTAGAGTTCAGGTTTGTGTGATGATAGATACAGAAGATACTTTGAAAGAACTATCGGCACAACCTGATGACAGCCTAGAAAAGACAAAAATAATCATGAAATCACTGTTAAAGTCCTTTACTTTTCTATTCTTAATCTATTATTCCATTTACTTCAGGCGAACTCCCTTAGCTTTTAGGCTCAAATGACGCACTTTAGATCAAGGGAGTCAATTCTCAGTTAATTGTCAAAAAACAGCAAGTTGATCTGCTCTTCCTGGTACCTACTGGTGCTGTTCACCAAAGTGTTTATTCTTCTTCTAGGATTTTATGTTCTGACCCTTCTATAAATGTAACATTGCCAGGAGTCCTTTTGCCTCCATATGAAGAAAGCCTGAGAATAAAGTCAAAAGGAGGCGTGGAAAGGAAGTGCTAGAAGCATAGATAGGTCGAGTTCCAACAATCCTGTTAACACCCCAATATCCAGACAGGCCTGAGGTCGGCAACACACTGAAGACTTCCCAGTTCCAGAGAGTTCAATGGTCCTTCTCTTTTGGCTAGACTGAGTTATGTGTTTTGTGCCTTGTAGTCCAACGGGGTCCCAACTAATATAACAAATATAAATACATACAGCTTTTAGAATCCAGTGTCCTTGCAGTGAAAGAATAGGAAGTAAAGGGGAATCTGCTTTTTCACCAGCCACTGGACATAGAAACCATCGAGTAATCAGCCTGAAAGTTACTATGGGATCTTGGCCTTGAGATGCACAGAAGAATCCACAGCAAGATGTTAGGACTAGGAAATAACAAGTGCTCTAAAAACCAAACCTGCTTCTGACTTTGCAGGTTGTAGAATAATGTTTTATTCAATGTTATTTTGTGATAATGTTGATGAAACACCATAGGAACTTAACTTTTGTTTACATCAAATAGCCTGTGGTAAAACTGATTTAATTACACATCATTTTCCTTAAAGTTGCAGAACCTATCAACAACATTAAGTGAGGACTTACTGCATTTTCTAGCATCTATCCCAATTTAAACTCTTATCATTCAAGCCACGGATGTCACACCATTTAAGAAATGCCTATTCCTGCACGTGAAGAATGCCACTTTCATTTATTTGGGTATGTACCCAGCAAATACAGCTCTCATTTCCTCTTTCTGCTGGCCTAAGAGAGAAAGTTCACGCTCTACCTAACTTGAGAGAAGACGCCTAATTCAGGGACAGACAACACTGATTACTTACCCTTGCTCTCAAAACACACTTCGAACATGTCATAATCTTCAGTGGTAAAGGCAAATTTCCCCTTGGTTGCATCCTCCTTGGAGTATAGGATATGGCCAGCAGAATCTGTGATCTAAAATAAAAAAGTAAAAACTTAGTAAGAATAGGCGCAAGTAACACTCAGGAAGAAAACTGGAGAAATGGAAAGAAACACTGTCCACAAAAGACAGTTGACATTTTTTATTATGACAAGTATGTTCCAACCATTCCCAGAGACAGGAGTTGAATTAAAGGATGAAACCCACATACGGCAAAATTCATTCAAACAGCCTATCCACACCATATGTTAAAATCGGTTGCCACTATGGAATAACAGTTGAGATATAAACTGGGTTTAGTAACAAAGGTTCGCTTTACGAAATACAGAAAAGTATCATTTCCCAGAAAGGGACATGCCACAAAAATAGAAGTGGACAATTACTAAAAAGATATAGTACAAAAAGGATAAAGACAAAGGAACACAGTTCTTCTGTGAAATAACCCTTGATGGGGTTGAGGTGGGGTGGAGACTGGAATGGGACCCCTGGTACACAGAGTAGGAAAAGGCCTATGCACACAGGAGGAAATCTCTGGTAGATATATTCTTCCAAACGTCTTGTCAATTATGTCAATGGCTACATAGGGTGGAAGAGAGGCACAGGGGATAAACAAGAAGGATCTGATCTCCTAAAAAAGGCATTCTGGGCTTCTACAAATGGTAATGCCTTTGTTACAGGTTGTTAGCTTTAGTTCTCTGTACTTGAACTGCTCTATTCCTAGAGAATGGCCTGTAAGCACAGATGAAATGGAACATATTGGCAAGTGAATGGTCACCTATAAAGAAGGGAATGACACAGTAATATGACAGAATGGATTTCAGGCCTCTTTTCTAGAGCACACTGCTGTCTTAGCAAAAGGCAATTTCATTACCTGAGACAGAAACTACTTGCAATGTGAAACACAAAAGTAGTGGCTTCATTATATTGGGTTGACCAAAAAGTCCATATGTTTTTCTCCATAAAATAAAAGACACATTTTTCATTTTCACTAATAACTTTATTGATTTGGATATTTTGAATATGTTGGCTATCTCCCATGTGGTGTAATGTTGATTGTTCTCAATTAATGTCTCGATTTGATCTCTATCAACTTCAGCTGGTCCATCCAACTGTGAAGCATCATCCAGGAGAAATCTCCAGCACGACACTTTACAGGCCACGTCTGACATGTTCCCTCAGTCACAGCACCTTCTCTACACACTGCACACTTTTTTTTTTTGCCTGTCAGTTGTATTTTTACCTTTCTTGAAATAATAAAGCATAATATGGGAGAAGGGAGGGGAGAGAAAAAAAAAAGCATAATATGCCGAAAAGGTTGTTTTCTTCCATCTTCAATATTAAAATGGCTACACAAAAATTCACCAATTTTGATTCAGTGTTTTTTAAGGACACACTGGTATGAGAGCTGTTACAATACAATTTAACAAAATTGTTTCTAATGAAGTTAAAGACAACTAAGTGCTATTAAGGCCATCTTACAGAAAAGCCAAACAAACTTTTTGGCCAACCCAATATTAAGCTGGATTCTCTAATGCTATATGTAAAACAAGATTCATTTATAGGTGAGATTTTAAATATAAAAATTGAGTAGCACACATATAAGCTTATAGATGTAAAGCACTTCACTAGTTATATTGATAAGTAATAAGATTTCTTTATTTTTTTTCCAATTTTCTACAAAGGCACGTATCACTTATGGTCAGAAATAAAGTTATTTCATTTTTGGGAAAAATAACAACTAAAGAATAGTTATTACAACTAGGTAAATTTTAAACATCTTCTAAATTCTCTAAAAATAACAGTAATAGTAATCAAGTATCTTCTGCCATGAATAATGTTGATCATTCATGACTCTGTCAAGCATTTAAGATGCTTCAAACTGAACTGGTTATTGGGGATACAAGAATGTAAGACAGTTCCTACCTTTAAAGGGCTTAAAGGTTTCAATGAGGAGAAGGAATAAGAAATGAGACTTCACTACGATGTGAGGAGTGCACCACTACAGGTACGCACAGGTGCCCCAGGATTATGGAGGATCAGGGAGTGTATCATGGAGGAGGTGACACCTGAACTGAGTCCTCAAGGATGAGTTGCATCAGGAGGAAAAACTGGGGTAAAGACATTCAGGGTAGAAGAGACAGCAAATATGAAGGCCTGGAATCCAGGGGAAAAAAACAAAACAAAACATGGTATCATCTTAATACTAACAGCTAGTATTTACTGAGCACTTTTACTACGTGTCCAATACTGTGCTTTATATGCATTTTCAATCTAATCTTCATTATACCCTATAGGTAAGAGCTATTATGTCCCCCATGTTCCACAGGAGGAAAGGGAGGCACAGAAAGTGCTTGGAGAGGTCGGGTAGGACTGAAACATCATGCTGAGGGGTTTAAACTTCCAAGTGGAAAGAAAGGCAATAAAGAATTTGAAACAAGAGTGCTGGGATTCAATTTGCAATGCAGAAAGATGATACTACTAGGAAGACAAATTCAAGAGGAACAATGCTAGAGACAAGATGATGGGTTAGGACACTATTCTAATTCTCCAGATTAAAGATGATGAAGGCTTTGCACATAGTGAGAAGGGGACAGATTTGAGGGCTATTAGGGAGGGAGAGACCACAGGACAAGACCGAAAAGTCAATGCCCACGAGGATCAAGTGAGCAACATAACCGAATCTAATGGACCAGACTGAGTCCACAGGGTGTGGTGGACAGTATGGCACACTGGATGGGCTTGGCTCAAAGGAAAAAACACTGACGGCCATGGCACACCAGGTTCTCAAATCATCCAATTTTTCAAAAGAAGCTAGACATTTTAACTTTTATTTGAAATCTCCTAATTTTTAAATCCTTACAACCAATCCCAACATTTGAAAAACTATCTCAAGGCCAAACAAAAGATGTCTATAGAACTAAGTTCTGAGCCACCAATTTCTGATCTCTGCATAGGACAGGAAGAAAGCCGACTAACTTGACACTGAAGAACTGCTGCGCGGCACTGAGATCTCAGCTGAGATCGAGAACCACGGATTTCTAGTGGCAACTCCTAGCAGCCCGGATGCAGGAGCAGAGAAGAGTATTGAGTGATTTAAACTTGGAGTTCTGCAACTGAGTGGTTTGGAAGGCTAAGGAGATCGAGGAGTTATGTTATAAACTTTATATACATAATGTTCAATCCTCACAACAATCCAACAGAGGCCAGTCTTATTATCCCCAGGTAACTGATGAGGAAACTCAGAAACTGTCCGTCATCACAGAGGTAATAAATTGCATATGTGCATCTAAAGCGGTCTAAAACACATGCTCTTCTCACAGTCCCTGCTGCATACCCACAAAAGGAATGTCTGAAAGAAGTGGCATGCACAGAAGCCAAGAAAGACTGATAGAATCTGCCCTCACTGGTGTGGCTTGGCTGGGTGTTGGTTGGATGTCACCCTGCAAAGCAAAAGGTCACCAATTCAATTCCTGGTCAGGGCACATAACTGGGTTGTGGGTTTGGACTAGGACACGTACGAGAGGCAACCGACTGATGTTTCTGTCCCTCTCTTTCTCCCTCCTTTTTCTTATCTCTAAAATTAATAAATATTTGATTGATTAATTACTTTGGGGAAAAATTCTAACAGATTCTGATGGATTCTCTGGGTCAGTGCACGTCAGAGAACCTGACAGCCCTCTCAAGTGGGACACAAGCACCTTGCAGTCTGCATTCTCCATCTTTGAGAGATTAGTCCTTGATGTCAGCAACAACTAGGAGATAATCTGCAAGCATATACATAGCCCTGAAGATTCCTAAAGGCCTCTTGTTCATGTGATGCTTTTTCTGAATCATCAGCTAAAAGACAAACCATAACAAAGGATTACTTTAAAACTGTGCATACACATATTACAAGGGGAAAAAAAAACCCTCTGGGAACTAACACGATCCCAAAATGATGTGTAGTCACCAGTGGGTGTCACTCTTCCTTTCTTCAGAATTTGTTCACCCACCGGATACACTCACTTCCCCACTTTGCAGTCCTCAAAAGCACAATGATAATTCTTAAGAGCAAAGAGGTAGCTCAAAAAGACAGACTGGCCCTGGCTGGTGTAGCTCAGTGGATTGAACCTCAGGCTGTGAACCAAAGGGTCACCAGTTCAATTCCCAGTCAGGGCACATGCCTGGGTTGCGGGCCAGGTCCCCAGTGTGGGTCATGTGAGAGGCAACCACACATTGATGTTTCTCTCCCTCTCTTCCTCCTTCCCTTCCTCTCTCTCTCTAAATAAATACATAAAATATTTTTTTTTAAAAAGACAGACTGAATGAATAATAGATTTTCATATTCTAAGCTTATCTAAAAAACTCTAATTTGGATTTGGCTCCTATGAATAAAGCTACAGAATATGTAGAACTTCTCCAAGGCATATCTGGATAAAAAATAACTTCCAGATTTGCTTAGTGTATGAGGGGGTACCCCCTCCAAATCTGGAATTACCTTCTGGAAGGCAGCTCCCTTGTAGTACAGGCTTCCTCCACTAGGCGAGTGTTCTAGGAACCCAGCTGACATTGTTGTGAGAGGCTGCACGTGGCTTCAGTGCATTTTTGTTGAAGGCGCTTCCAATGCAGTTGCCCATTTTATGAAGGGTGATTTACGAACACACCTGCCCACACAGCATGGAGTGTTCAGTGCTTTCTGACCAAAAACGGTATGACCCCCATGCTCCGCCCTCCCTATACCTGATGTCACCCCGATGAAAAAAGTCCTCAAAACAAAACAAAATGTTTTGCTGATGTGGAAGTGGTGAAACAAAAAACTGCAAAAGCACTAAAAGGCATCAAAGTTGACAAGTTCAAAAACTGTTATGAGCAGTGGAAAACACATCTTGCATCAAATGGAGAGTACTTTAAAGGTGACTGAAGTTTAAACATGTAAGAATAAATACACAAGTTTTTACAAATAAATTCTGGTTTTGGGGGTATCCCTCCTTGTACTGTCTTAATTCTTATGAGAAAAGGAAGATTCTAGGTTGCTAGAAATGTTTAAATGTTAATG